TTTTTTTAATTTTATTTATTGAATTTTAGATTGATTGTAAATGGCTACTTGCTCCAATAGGTTCAGAACATATGGGTAGAAAATGTTTAGTATTGGATTTAGACGAAACTCTAGTACACAGTTCCTTTAAGGTATAAAGATGATGATGTGATGATAATATTATTAATTTTGATTATTATTGTTGTTGTTATTTTATCGTTATTTATTTAATTAAATTAAATTTAAAAACTTTTTTTAGATGATTAGCCAAGCGGATTTTGTTGTACCAGTAGAAATTGAAAATCAAATACATAATGTTTATGTAATTAAGCGTCCAGGGGTTGATCGGTTTCTGAAAAAAATGGGTGAATTATATGAAGTGGTTGTTTTCACAGCAAGTTTATCAAAGGTTAGTTGGTGGTGATGATGCGTGATTTGAAGGAGAAACTAAAAAACTAAATAAAATAATTTTTAAATTTAAATTAATAATTAATAATTCAAAATATTTTATAAATAGTATGCAGATCCAGTCCTTGATATGTTAGATATACATAGAGTGGTAAAATACCGATTATTTAGAGAATCCTGTTATAATCATAAAGGAAATTATGTGAAAGTTTGTATTAATTTCATTTTTATATTTAAACAAGGCACGTGATCCAGTTTGTGGATCAATAATTTTTTTGAATTTTGTAATAAAAAATATTTGCACATTTATTAGGATCTTTCACAGCTGGGAAGAGAACTTAGAGATACAATTATAATTGACAATTCGCCAGCTAGTTACATTTTTCATCCAAAAAATGCAGTTCCAATTTCATCATGGTTTAATGATCCACATGACACTGAATTGTTAGATTTGATACCATTTTTGGAGGACTTGACAGCAGTAGATGATGTTACAATGGTATTGGACTCTTCCAATGAACTACAATTTTAATACTTAATTCTAATTCTAATAATTTTATCAAGTGTGATATATGCACACAAACATATATAAATATATGGTGATGGTAATGAAGATAATAATAGTAGATGTGATTGTGGAGAGGTTATGGAAATATTGATTGAATGGATTTGATAGCAAATGATAATAGTAGCAATTATGACAGTAAAATGGTGGAAGTAGTTATCCTAATTATAATAGTATTATTAGTTTCGTGATAATAGTTTTTTGATAATGTTAATGGTGTTAGTGTTAATGATCTATGATTGCTCATTACTATATAGTAATAATTACTTGCTATTACAATGAATGAATAGTTTTAGATGAGATTTTAAAATCTAGTAACAAAGAAAAAAAACAGACAATAATAACATAAATATGCAGTTTAGACTATTAAAATACTTTAATTTAATTTCTTCAATTTTTCAATTTTGGGGAATTTGATAGGAATACATTATTTATTTATTCATTTTTTATTTATTTATTATTTATTTATTTATTTTATATAAATTTATAAATTTAATTTATTCATAGTTTTGTATAATTTTATAAATTTTATTAATTTAATTTACTTTTTATTTTTATTTTTATTTTATTTATTTAGTTAATAACAACAACATCATCATTATTATTAAAAAAATTTTTGGACTTTTTTTTCTTATACTTTCCTTACTGATCAATTTACATTATAATAATTACATTTTTATCATTAAATATAAAATTGTTTTTATTATATTTTCTTTTGTT